TCCTTTAGCTTGGCAGATGGCATTGGCCATTGATTGTACTAGGCTTGCAGTTGGGGACAATCCTTGAGAATCTAGCTTCAATATACCTTGGAGAAGGGCCTCTTCTTCTATTAGGCTGAGCTTCATGTTCTGTGGTATATAATCTTCTCGTGAAGGGGTTCCTTGAAGTCTACGATGAAGTGTTGTTTTAGAGACATTGAATGCTTTCGCTGCAGCACTCATGGAACTGATTTCGCCTGATCTAATAGCCGATATAGCAAGCAATATGCTTCCTTCATTTGGACTTGATTGCACGCGTTTCGGTGGTGCCATCGCGTGTTGAAGTTGACGTGTCGATATCCTCAGAAGTCGCGTTCCGCGCCCCCGTGTGTTCCGCGCTCACGTGGCCCGCGTTAGCTGCAACACCTCACGCGATCGATCATATAATGTTTGCACTGCCTCATCGAATTATTCCGCCTAATAATATCCAAGTCTCAACCAAAGCCTATGCTGGAAATTAAGACATAGCATTAACAAAAAATTGCTTTTGTAGGCCGTATCATCGACCTCATATCATCATCTCGGGGGTGTGAAGATCGTCATCGCTTATCATTCACACATCATCGGCGGGGCACAGTTTGGAAGCCAGCATAGAGAGTCGGACAACGGTTACCGGCCTGCCGATAGACATTGTCCATCATTGTCCATCTCCCGCCCTCTGTCCTGCGCTCAAGAATACCTCCACAAGAAAGACGGGCAAGTAGCAAGCTTGAACTCTTCTCATAACCGATATCTCCTTGGATACGAAAAAGAACCGCGTTGAACCTAACAGCGATGGCACATCTCGCCGACTCCCTCAAAGCCCAAGGTAACGAGTCTTTCCGGCGAGGCGAATTTGTTGAAGCCGAAGATTTCTATACCCAAGCCATCCAGAAGAACCCCGGAAACCCTCTTTTGTTCACGAATCGCGCCAATGCTAGGCTGAAATTACATCGTTGGGAGGAAGCTGCCCTTGATTGCAATAAGGCGATTGAGATTACGGGGCAGAATGCGCCGAATCATAAGGCGTATTACTTTTTAGGTGAGTGGTTGTTTTTGTTGTGTTTTGGGGTGGTGGTTGAGGGGGTTCAGGGTCGCAGCGCAACTCGCCGATTATGGTTAAGGGGTCACGACAGGTCTTTGGGAATGGTATCGTCAGCATGGCTATGAGCAGATCCTTGTCGGGAAATGAATCACGCGCCCCGTTGAGATGACTGACCATTGACCCGATATCTCCTAGCCCAAGCGCATCTATCTTCAAATCATCCTCAACAAGCCCTCGACGCCGCCCAAACCGCCTACACCCAAGTCCTCTACCCCCATCCCACCACCAAATCCTCTCCCAACGACCTCCAGACCTTCTCCCTCTACGTCCTCCGCTGCAAAAAAGCCATCTTTACCTCCCGCGAGCGCGCCCGCCTGCGCGCCCAAGGCGACCTCCTCGCCGACCTCGAAGAATCCCTCGAGATGAAACTGCAACAAGACCTGGCCGCGGTAAGTGCCCAACTGCGCGCGCCCTCCATCTACCACCACTCCGGCCCAACGATCGGCCCTATCGCCGCCACCGAAGCCCGCGCCGCACTCCACGCCGCCCACGAAACCCGCCTTTCGGGTCTCCGCGCCGTCTTCGCCCTCGCGCAAGATCCCAGCCTCACGCCCACGCGCCGCGAAGTCCCCGATCACCTCGTCGATATGATCACTTTCGAACCCATGCATGATCCCGTGGTGACGAAGAATGGCCATAGCTATGAGCGGGCGACACTGTACGAACATCTCAAGCGGAGCCCGACGGATCCGCTGACGAGAGAGCCGTTGAGTATGCAGGATGTCCGGAGCAATTTGGGACTTAAGGCGGCGTGTGAGGAGTTTTGGGCGAGTGGGGCGGAGATGTGGATTGGGGATTGGTGAAGCGGGGAAGGAGGAAGACTCCTTCCATCTCCTTCTTGAGAGCTGTGAATTCGTGCCAAAGCCGGAGAACATTTTGCAACTTTCTTGATCCATCTTTATTTTCAGAAATGGTAGGGGTTGAAGGGACGGGCACCATCGTTCCGACGCGGATCCCTGTCATGAGTCACGGCTTCTCAAATGGTTGTACAATTATACGACACATAACCAGACTCGTCACGCCGATCAGATTGATCCTGCCTTTCCAGTCTCCATCAAGAGGACGGTATGACTAACTTCGCCATTAGAGGCGCTGCGCCATTGCTTTCGAGCCATCTCAAGATGGGCCGTTCGAGAGGAACGACAAGGTCGCAAGACATACTCTCACCAACGCGGTCGAACCACAGGGATCATGCCATAACTACGCCTCTCGAACAATAGAAAGGATAACACTGGCGATCACCAGCATAACATAACTTATCAAAAATCGTTCTACATCCAGATCGCTCGTCGGTTTCAATCGAATATACTGCTGCTATACGGGTATCTATAAATATTCTTCTTCTCCGCGCCTATCAGCGAACAAACCGGTTCTTCTCTTGCGATCTCTCGCGAGAAAGGATGACGACAACACATGGAGTCCAAGTATGAAAGTTCCATCAAACCACAAACACTCAGAGCAATATTGGAAAGCCATGGAAAGCCATGCAACAACAAACTACACAACAATTGAAAATCACATCCACCACCACACCCTCGTTACAACAATCAAGTTTGGAATAGACACCCACTTCCCTCGTGCGGGCGTCTAGATGGATGACTTAAATCCCCATCAACTCCCTCCTGAGCCGCATCAGCTCCTCAACGTCACCGTCATCCGGCGAAGTAATCTTCCTCCTTTTCGCCGGTCGCTGTACTGGAGGAGGACGCTTCGGCGGCTCCAGCAATTTCGGTGGGGAATTTGCAAGAACTCCATCGATAACGGAGCCTTCAAACACTGTCGATGCTTCTTCAGAGTTCTGTCTTACTGGTGGCGAGGAGGATATCTGGGACTCCGGCACAGAATCTTCTTTGGATACCATCGCTTTTGTGGGACGTGTGCGACTAATTTTGGTGAGTTTTGGTGAGGAGAGGATCAGGCCGGCTTGGAAGCCGGTCAGGGGACGACGACCTTTGAGATTTGCTGAGCGCGGATCCCGAGTCTCCTTCTTGGCTGGCTGTTTTGTGGGTTTCTGCGTCGTCGAGGATAGCTTGGCTCGGCGGTGGCTTCTCAATGGGCTGGGATCGACCGCTCGCTCGGGGTCCTCGATCAAACTTGGACTGCCCTCTGAGGAGACTCGAACGAGCCTCTTGACTGCACTCTGCTTGATGAATTTGCCTGTTGCAGGATCGCGGACGGATGTTGGTTTGTTGGCGGGCTGCTTCGCGGTAGTTGTGGGCTTGGCTTTCTTCTGAGGTGCAGATTTTGTACGTTGAGTCTGCCTCTGTTGAGCTCGGGCGCTTCTACGTATTGTTGGATTGAATGGCGGTCGTTTTGTTTTGTGTGTCACTGTGTCTTCGTCTTGTGCCAGATTGTCGTATGCGATAATCGCGTGGGACGGATCCCAACCCGGGTTGTCCGAAGATCGCGAGTTGGGGTGCGGTTCATTAGTTGTTGTGGCCTTCAAGGGATCTGAATTGCGTTCAGTTGACGTATCCAAAGCTTTTCGCTTGGTTCCTCTCGTTTTGACATCCGGCTCAGGATCTATATTACTGTTGTTTGCCTGCTTGGGCTTTTTGTTCTGCATTTGTGAGCTTGGCGGTGGTTTTACTCCTTTGCGTTTCTTGGTATTCATCTTCTCGATTTCAGACGGTCTATTCGATTCGAGTTCAAGCGCTTCTTTGTCTCGCTTGTTGGCTGTTATCTGCATGTCGGACAATATTACATTTGAGGTAGTCACCCCAGCTCCTTCCATTGGCTGAGCAGATGGTGCCTGGGCTACGGACGCGGCTGCATCGACGCCCAGAAGTCGCTTTCCTCTCCTTTTCGATGCCTGGTTCGCGGGCCGCGTGGCTGCTCGCTTTGTGACGACTCTTGACGCTTTCTGGGATGCCTTCGGCGCAGGTCTCTTCGTTGACGGCCTTGACTTGCCGACGGCCGGTTCGACTGCATCTGATTGTGAACAATCCTTGTCGATTGTGTCGTCTTGGGAAGCAGGGAATTCCTGTACCTTTGTGGGCATCGTCGGCAGATTTTGCTGCTCGACCAACGCGTCATCCTCGCGCAATAACTCTGGCGAGATCGAATCACTCGCTCCCTGCTCTTGGATCGTCGATTGTCCGGCAGGTAGAACGCCAACAGGCGACTCTTTCTGCGCCAGGAGCTTTGCAACATTCTCGCTGAGCTGTTCATTCCGTTCCTTCAAGATTTGGATTGCCCGCAGCGCGTGGTCAAGATCCCGCGCCACTCGCTGCGTTTCTTCCCTAGCTTCATCCTTGCTCTGCCTGGCGACAATCCTCACTTGATCTAGTTGTATCTGCAAGGCTGTTTCCCTCTCCGAGACCAACTGCACTTTTTCCGAAGTTTTTGTCACCGCATCTGCATGTCCTGTGGCATCTTTCTCCACGACTGCGATGCGCTTTAGGATTGCGACCTGACATTCGATGACTTGTTGTCTTTGGACATCTGCCTCCGTCTGTATCCGTCCATGAGCCTCGACCACTGCTTTCAACAGCTGAATCTCGTCTCTGAGCTCGTTCACCAGGGCGAAATCCTTCTTCCGCGCGGCATCATGTGCTTGCAACGCTGTCTCGTTGGCATTGATGACCTCGCCGAGCTTTTTTTCGAGTTTGCTACCTTGTTCAACCTGTACTTGCTCGCTGTGTTGGAGAGATTCATCGAGCTTTTGGTGCTTCGCTTCAAGTTGACGGAATCGCTCGGCGAGGTAAGTGTGTTCGCGCTTGAGCTGATGAGCCCACAGAAGAGATGCCGGTGACGGTGACGCTGTCGATGTTGTTGAGACTGTTGAAGTTGGCGCCATGACGAGCTGGTGGCAACCATTGGGATCCGAAAGTATCGCGTAGTGAGTAGTTGGTCAATCTTACATGCAACAGGGTTCGTTCGGCGCCACCGGTGATTGTTGTCTTGAAATTGAATGGACAAAGATTCAAAAGCACGCGTCTTCCTGGCTCTTGCGAGGCGCAAAATGAGATCTTTGTTCGTTCGAAAGGTTATCATGATCTGTCCTGGAAAAAGATGAGTTGGCCGTCAAAGTTTGTGTCACAATCCTATGACATTTCAGGGAAAGATTCCAGGGCTGTTTCGTGACATCTGACCACCTGACTCTGTGTGAAATTCATGATAGGAGAGAGGCGCCAGTCATGGACGCGAGTTGGCAATACGTAGAGTCATCTCATCGGTATTCATGTTTACACCGACTGACGCACCTTCGACAGCGTAAAGTTGTCGCCTGAACGAATCTTGCTGTGGCTCTACGCAACCAGAGCCTGTCACACCTAACGAAGACCATCACAAGAAAGTACTTTGTTTCAAGCGAATTCAATTTAGCAGACTCTCTCATAATCTACGTACCAAATCGCTATGAAGGCGCAAAAGGAACATTTTGATGGCATCGCGAATCGCAATACGCCTTTGCAAGGAAGCGCGCCAAAGCAAGTCTCTATCATCATCATAAAAGCCCAAAGGATGAGGGGCGGGGACCGCGTCCTCTTCCTCTAGCCGATACATGCCTGCGTCTGCCAGCAAGAGAGCCGACAGGTCCAGGTAGGGATGTCGAGCGCGCACAAGTTTCGAAAACGGTGATTGTTGTATGTCGGAAGTGGGAGTGTGTATGGGGGTGCGCCTCCCCGGCCCGACGCCGAGCCCAAAACTATTATGTTTTCAGATCAGTCGGGCAGAGTCAACTTGGGTGATGGTTGTCTTGGAAAAATGTATGCTGCTTAAATGAGGTCGGCCACGTTCATCGGCATCTCCTCAATCTGAGTGGAATAGAACTGTTCAATTTCACGCATCATGCGCACATCGTCAGCAGTGACGAAGTTGATGGCCACACCCTTTCGGCCGAAACGACCACCACGACCGATACGGTGAATGTAGTTTTCACGGTTGGCGGGAAGATCGTAGTTGATGACCAGAGAGACCTGCTGGACGTCGATACCACGGGCCAAAAGGTCAGTGGCGATGAGGACACGAGAAGATCCGGAACGGAACTCCTTCATGATGACATCACGCTGGCCTTGGTCCATGTCACCGTGCATGGCGGAGACAGTGAAGTCACGGGCAGTGAGCTTCTCAGTCAACCAGTCGACCTTTCTGCGGGTGTTGCAGAAGATGACAGCCTGGGTGATGGTGACGGTCTCGTACAAGTCGGACAGGGTGTCGAGCTTCCAGTCCTCCTTCTCGACGGCAATGTAGAATTGCTTGATACCTTCGAGGGTCAACTCGTCCTTCTTGACGAGGATACGGACGGGGTCACGCATGAACTTGGTGGTGACCTCGAGGACGTCCTGGGGCATGGTGGCGGAGAGAAGGACGACCTGGGTGCTCTGAGGAAGGAGCTGGAAGATGTCGTAGATCTGCTCAGTGAAACCACGAGACAACATCTCATCGGCCTCATCGAGGACGAACATCTTCATGCTGTCGGTCTTGAGGACGCGACGCTGGATCATGTCGTGGACACGGCCGGGAGTTCCGACGACGACCTGAGGTCCGTCACCGAGGGCCTTCATGTCATCACGAACGCTGGTGCCACCGATACAGGCGTGGCACTCGATGTTCATGAAGTCACCAATGGCGACGACGACCTTTTGGATCTGCTGAGCCAACTCACGGGTGGGTGCGAGGATGAGAGCCTGGCACGCCTTCAAGTTGGTGTCGATCTTCTGAAGGGTGGAGATGGAGAAGGTAGCGGTCTTGCCGGTACCAGACTGGGCCTGAGCGATGACATCGTTGCCTGAACCGTTGTCAACATTGCTGTTATCCACTCGAACCCCGCTGCGGAGAAAAGCGGCAACTTACCCTTGATGACGGGCATGATGGCACGCTGCTGGATAGCAGAGGGACGCTCGAAACCGTAAGCGTAGATGCCACGGAGCAACTCGCTCTTGAGGTTCATGGCATCGAAGCTGTCGGTAGTCTCATCGTAGTTGGACTCGATCTGACCTGAAAGCGGGCGCACGTGTTAGCCTCTGCGCAAAATTTGGCCGCGTTCTTGACCGCTCGCAGTGTGAAATGTATGGTGCTTCGCCTCTTTGTTTCCCTCGTCGCCTTCGCAAACGATCACCAATGATGAGATGCCTCCTACACGCGACTCACCAGCATCGATGTCCTCAAGTCCTTTGTCACCCATGATTGCGGTTGGTGGGATGAGCTCACGAGCGTTGCGCTGTGAGCTTGGTGGGAATGCGAGTGGACGGGCTGTTACCGTCCGAGAGTGCTTGTTGTTGTTGCTGTAAAAAACTAGATGCCTGACTCGCTCAAGGAGGAGTCGTATGGGATCTAGGAGTGAAGTGTGGTGATTGTGTGTTGAGTGGTGATTTATGATTTTCAGGATAAAATGGAGGGACAGCGGAAATTCATAAGGCGGTTCTGAGAAATTTCGCAGAACGTGGTGCACGGGCCACTTGTGCGGTTCCGTGGTGGCGGCGCTACACGCGATCGAAGTTTTGTCATCGTCCACCGAATTATTTTGTTCATCACTGTGCGGGTCAACTACGGCGCGGGACATTGCTGCTTGTTACTAGCCACTCACTCGACTCACATACATATTCCTCCTCATTGCGCTGTTGGTTGCCCTCCTTTTCCATCAGCGTGGCGAATATATTCGCGTGTGCTACTCTTCGTATATTGATGCTGACCCTTGTACCGAGCAATACTATTCCAGCAATCGGTGAAGCGTGGGATGACATCAATATCTGGCTTCACATTTCAACGAGATCAGGGCCTCTCCACCCACGTATCCTTGCAGTTCCCAATGTTGCGCAGAGCACCGGACATTCCTCCAGCAGACCCATGGACAGCGAATTAAGCATGACTAATCTGTGCGCATAGACAGTCATAGCCCTGAAGGATCCGGCGCTGGGCTCTGACTCACAAGCATGAGTGGCATGCATGGAGTCATGAAGGCGCGGGCGCGTTAGATCGTGGGACTATGACTCTGGCTGAGGAGGCGACTTATTCTCCATGCGTAACAATGACATACGCGCGAACTTACGAGACGCGCACATGCGATACTTGACTCCCCTCAAGTCGAGTCACATAACGGATCTGCTCTACCGCAGCTTCAATCGACAAGGCATTCCCTCTCTTGGCTTAGCCGTACCAAGTTGGATCTGATATGCCTCCTCTCCAAATTGCGTCTGCACACCTGACTCGTCAGATGGATAACCGGTGCCATCTCCTTTGAGAGCTTTCAACTCGTGATACGCGGGGATAAAGTCCCAACTTCTTAGTGTCATAAGCAGAATGATCTTCGTTTCGATAATCGCGAGTTCCTGGCCGATGCAGTTCCGGGAACCTTTGGAAAATGGCATCCACGCATCTCGATCGTTGGCGGTGTCATTTGGTAGAAAGCGCTCCGGTTTGAACTTGTGTGGATCAGGCCAATATCTGGGATTGCGATGCATACCAACGTCTGGTCAAAGATGTTGTCAGATGAGTCACAAGTACGGCAAGCACACTGATTGGCAGGAATTCATGACTCACCGACAGGCCAAAGCATGAATCCTTCCGTCGGCAAACGCTCGTTGGTATCTGGATCTCTCAGATTGAGGCTGCAATCGCTCTTGGTCAGCATTGTTCTGTTTTCACTGCACGCGGGTGGCAACATACTCCGGAGATCCAGCACGGACAGTGCTGGCTGGAGGTTGAATCCTGAGAACCTCCCGAATCACCGCCAATGTATACTCGAGCTTGTTCATGAGACGAGGATCCTCAAGTAATCGCGATACAGCGGCATCGCGGTCTGTGCCAAAGACATCGTCATGTTCCTTACGAATACGTGCTAGCATTTGGGGATTCTTGCCAAGGTAATAATATGCGTAACAAATCGTGGACGAGGTAGTGTCGTGGCCGGCGAACACAAAAGTCCTCATGTTGCTAACCGCGCCAATGCGGAATTCGGCATCGAGCTTGGTGACGTGGGAGGTGTCTCCCGAAACACCCTTGACTTCCTTAAGATATGATTCAAGGGCAAGATCAATGACATGCTTAGTCTTGCCTCTGCTCTCACGCGAAGCAAAGCGCTCGTCCAGACGTTTTCCGAGATAGCGATTCATCCTCCAATTGTTGTACGCTTGCATAACTGGTCGTCTAATGTCCCACAGCTCACTAGGCTGGAACTGTACACCCAAGCTTTGCCATCGGACCTGAGAGTTGAAGGCGCTGACAAGTTCATTCGTTTTAGTCTGAGAGTCGAGATCAATGTCCAGCACAAGCTTGCAGATAATGTCGATCGTCAACTTTGTGGCCGCGGTCTCCATGCGGAATAACTCGTTCCGTTTGGCTTTCTGTTCCATCAGGTCGCAGAAGACCTTGCACTGATTAACGATCGCTGGGACCAGGGTCATCAAATTATTACTGCTGAAGCCCGGGTTGAAAATCGATCGCCACTTCTTCCACTCAGGTCCATCTGTGCTAACAAGATTTCCTGGACCTCCAAAATTCTTCATGAACTCGCCGACCAGGGGATGTTTTGGCGCGAAATTCTTGTTTGTGATTTCGTTGGCCATTTCCGTGTTCATGATCATCAACATAGGCGGCCCGGCGGGCCATGTGTCCAAGTACCAAAAATCTCCCAGTCGATATTCCTCCTTTAATCCAAGGACGAACGTCTGAGGTGCCGCTTGCGCAGGCTGCTTCGCAATCACTTTACCCATCGAGATGAGTGAGCCGAAAAGATAAGACCGGGGCGGACCTGGGAGGCCCTTAAACATGCTACGTTGTTGATGTAGCCGTTGCCAAAATCGCAGCATCACTGCCACGACGACGAAGAGGATCGTCCATGACAGCCGCAATCCTGACAACGCCTCCATGTTGACGCGAATGCAGGCCCGGTGCACAATGTCTCAACACAAGAATTGTAACAAAAAATATCAAGCCAGGCAAAATGACTGCCCATCGAGACTTATGAGTAACAACTTCATTAAAGGCTCATGAGACGGGCTGTGTTGAGTACTTATTTATGTGATTCAACATGAGGTGTCGATCCTTCTACAGCAGTCCTTCCACAAGGTCGTGGTGCCAGCAACCCTGGATTTAAGCGAGATACGACCAATGCGGCCAATGATGACAGCCCCGGGCACGGTCGAACTTCTATGACTTCGGCCTAGTTATTACCCCGGGGCGAATCCGAGACGTTTTCATTATTCGGAGCGTTCCTCCAATAAAGTACTGCATAAGCAGCAAGGACTACGATTGCTGTCCTTCAACAACGATGATGTGTTGATCCTCGTTCCGTGTTGCAGCCTTTCTTGATAAGACACAAGGGATGATGAACACCCTAGAGTCGTTGGAGATGGGTCTTGATTGAATGGGTGCACTCGTCACTGCGCTCACAGTCGTCTATGCCTGTACATTTCTACTGCCGGCGCTTGACACGAATTCATAAGTCTTAAGCGATTCGGATGTTTCAAGATTGTCGTAAATGCCAAGGATGGAAGGTAATGAATGTCCTCCAGGGCTTCCTCGGAATTTCGCCATCACGTGGCTGGAAACCCCTCCAAAAAGTGCGGGCAATCACGTGGGGACGCCCAGCACTAGGGTTACTATGCCGGAAGATCCATTAAGCAGTGTATGTCACTACCTACTGTACCAAGGTATTCATCCGGAAAGATACAAACTTCTAAACGATCGGTCGCAAGTACGACTGGGCTGCAGAAGAGCTCATGGATCCATTGCTGTAAATGAGTAGCCAGGACCACGGAGCGGCAATCGTGGCTGACAACAGCAACGAAGCTCGCCAGAAGCTTAGCCCTCCGCGGCGTGCACGCGCATCCATCTCAGCACCAGCCCATGACGTTGTTCCCGTCTCGCTGTCGACTGAGGATCACTGTGCAGCCTCCGAATCTTTGATCAACATATCTTCACCTGTGCAGAACATTGACGATCCCAACGATTACGCAGAGAGCATCGACGACCCAGACGAATTTGACGACGATCGCTTCTCCGTGGTGACTGTGTCCGCTGTAGGCAGCCTTAATCTCTCCGAGAACGAGTTCGACCACGATCACGATTTTGAGACGTTTGAGCCGATTGAGATTGTGCAGGCACGACTTGCCACAGAATCTACTCCTCGGTCCGCTTCACGCATTCCTACCACGCAGACCATAGACTCTGTCACCGCCATGGAGGAGGGAGGAGATGACTGGCGACAGGCAGGACACCACGCGGACCCGCAGGACTTGGCAGGGCCAGGAGCGCATGGTCAGCTCAACTGCAATGTGAGCAGTCCGCAAAAGGAGGGTGAAGGAACACAGAATTCTTACGTCTCATACCTCGTTACCACCGACACCGATTTCAAATCGTTTCAGTCATCACATTCGAGCGTCCGTCGAAGATTCACGGATTTCGTCTTTCTGTACACGACCCTCGTGAAGGAATACCCACAATGCGCCGTGCCACCACCGCCAGACAAGCACAACATGTCATACGTCCGCGGCGACCGGTTCGCACCTGACTTCACAGCGAGGCGGGCACATTCGTTGCGGAGATTTCTTGGCAGACTTGCTCTGCATCCGGTCCTACGCCGAGCTACGATTCTCACCCTGTTCCTGGAGTCTACGGATTGGAATGCTACCATGCGAAGTCGACCCAATCGTGGGATGAGTGGCAGTGATGCAGGAAACTCGTCAGTACTCGAGAGTTGGACAGACAGCTTTCTCAATGCCTTTAGCAAGGTTCACAAGACAGACAAGCGCTTTCAAGACGTCAACGATCATGCTTCGAAGCTGGATGATGATCTCGGGACCGTCAGCAAAGTCGTCGCTCGTGTTGCCAAGCGCGAGTCCGATCTGGCCTCCGATTACGCAGACCTCTCTACACAATTCCAAAAGCTCGCTCAATTGGAACCCAGTGTGCAAAATGATCTTAACAAATTCTCCACCGGTGTTCAAGCGACCAGCGAGGGATGGCGGGCCCTACACGATCATACCGATCGGGACTATTTGACATCCCTCAAAGACATGGAATCTTACATCTCAGCAGTGAAGTCACTACTCAAGACTCGCGAACAGAAACAGCTCGACTTTGAAGGCTTGACAGATTACCTCAGCAAAGCACATCAAGAGCGCGACACGCTCGCGAGCACACACAGCGCAAGCGGGCTTGGCGCCTCGGGGTTCATCCGGGCCAAATTAGAAGACGTCCGCGGTGTCGACCACGAACAAGCTCGACGGGAACGCGTGCGCAAATTGGAAGTCTCCATATCTCGACTGACGGACGAGGTGGAGAATGCGAAGAAGACAACCGAAGCCTTCGACGAAGAGGTAGTCAAGGAAGTGGCGGATTTCGAGAGGATCAAGGCGGTGGAATTCCGCGACACCCTAGGCGGACTCGCTGACGCCCATGTGGACTTTTTCAAGACCAATATTGAGATATGGGAGAAATTCGTCAAGGAGGAAGAGGCGCTTATGGCGGCTGAGGGCGAAACTGTGGTAGCATAGAAAACATTTACAGGGATGGGTCGGTCGCTGAATGGAGTTTCAATATCATGTGTGGAGTCCCTTTTGAAGATACCTACCTAGGTGGGTATGCAATAGATGGATTGCTGCGTATTTCGAAGATGCGGGTGGTCATCGTCGCAACAAACATCCATCACGACCAACAATATACCAATATATACGCACTGGAAGCGGCCTCTTCATCAACAAGAGGATGAGCATCGCATCATGCGATCATCCCCCGTGGCGCAATTGGCTAGCGCGTTCGGCTGTTACCAACACCTGTTGAGAGCCAACCGGAAGGCTGGTGGTTCGAGCCCACCCGGGGGAGCACATCTGCTCCTGCCAGCTTTTTGCGTTTTTGTGGGTTGATACAGATTTTTGGGGTTGATACACACACAATATCCGGGAGATACATGAGATAGGTCTGATATTTGGGATATACTTGTCGTGTTGTTTTGCTTGTGCTATGTGTTCTGTTGTGCAAACTGAATGAATGCACTCTTGCTGCACTCGATTGAACGGCACGAGGTCAAAATAGTTGCTAGTGTTTCTTTGTCGCAGTCCACCCATTGACGTTCGGTGTTACCTGTGACGATGGTGATACACCCATATCCGTTCACTGTCTGTTGTTACTGAAGATTCACTTGCTTGGCCAGAGAAACCTTTATCATCTTACCCGTCGGACAAATCAGACACTCTCGCATTAATAATTGCAGCATGGCATCTACTTGAAAGGCTTATGACCTCATATACTCCGTATGGGAGTCGACCTCTTGGACGCGAATATCAAAAGACGCCAATACGAGGAAACAACCCAAACCCTACGGACTTGGGGCAGAACAACCCTACACTGTACTGCAGTGGACTTGCTGGAGATGCCACGCACGCGTTAGCTTATTATTCCACGCAGGAAATTCCGCGACTCTGGTGTGATCGACCTCTCCCTCCCGAGCGCTGGTCTTTGCACCCCAACAGCGATCGCCTCAGATGATCATTGCTCTTTGAGAGAAGACTTGCCATCTCGTTGTCAGTGATCTACGATGATCCCGCGATCTACTTGCCTACTGCACGGAAATAAAGTCATCGATCCACACGTCGGACACGATTCCGTTGCTTCTTTCTCAGGATGGGTGGTGGATGTGGTCATTTCGTCATCCTCTACCCTTCAACACACTATATGATGTAGATCACCTGAACGCAGGTGTGCACGTGAGGATTTTCCTCTCCTGCACTTGTATATCCATCACGAGTTCGTCATGGTATCGGCTGAAGCCACATCTCCTCTTACTAGTCTATCCGATTCCATCTTGATCGTCACGATTGTTGTCATGACGTAGACAAGCGACGAGAGCCACCCGCGTGTGACACAGAATCTGGCTCGAGGACTCACCGGTTTGTAAACAGTGTTGCATTGCCGGGATAGTTGCCCAGATCGATGACCGGGAAACGCCGAGAGACAGAGGCAGAAGCCGGGAATCGACACATGATGTCCAAGCAAGCGGGCGAGCAAAGCTGTTTGAACATACATGCGTCACCAACCACTGCTCCGCAACAACCACAGTCACCGGGTTTGCGGCTCTGTAATGCGCCCTGTCGGCATCGTACATGCATCCACGAGAGAAGGGGCCCGCCCGCCATCCATTCATTTCTTTGCCACATTTCCCCAATGTCTATCTATGATAACGATACTCGTGGAGGATTCCCACAGTATTTAATCCCAATGAGTGTGAAACGCGCGTCGGAAGGCTTGTTCGGGATATGCTTATTCCGCGTGCATGTGGAAGATTCATATATTTTGTTTACGCCACGAAAACACGCGCGTGTGTTCAGTACGTGAGGACGTTATGTTCCAGATAGCACACCTGTCGAGTATTGTACACACGCGATGTGTATGAGACAAGGTGATGAGAGCGCACCTGCATCTGCCCTAATCCCCATGGATTGCGTGAGTGGAGGAGTACCAGTACTGTGCCTGGTTCTGCCATTCCCTCCGGCGACCACAATTGTAAGGGTGATGATGGCAGTGAGACTGTAGCGGAAGGAGGGACCAACAGACAGCACGTCTTGCGAGCTGTGGAATCTCCCCTTTTCTGGTGATAACGGAGCGAAAAGGAGAACGAAATCTCCCATCATCTCGAGTCTACAAGAGTGCTATGCTCAGAACAGGCATTGCAGAACAGAACAAAACAGAACGGTGCTTTGCCACGGCCATGATAATGAACCGTGAGCAGTCCGTGATGAATTGAGCTCAATCAATCGAGCAGATTGAGATCGTCACACGCGTTTTTGATGAAATGCTGGGGACAGCAACCCGCCAAAACAATCGCTTGCGCATTGATGATGAAGCAGGGCAACGAACCTCTAACGGGCACGCGCGTGCGGGCGGTGGTGCACTCGAAACTGTTGCGTGCGACGCTTGCACCCGTTGGATCTATCTATTTCGTGTCCTGGTCTTCTCTTATCCTCTCCCCTTTCTTGTCCTCCACCGGGATTTGATATAAGGAATAGAGACGACATGGAGGAGGGAGCACGTGTGCGCTGTCAGGTTATGGATTTTGGTAGCGTTGTCGTTGTGATGGTGGAGTCGAACGTGACACAAGTGGTGGCTGTTGGCATTGAACCTGTTGATGGCAGGACCCGGGAAAAGAAGCCACATATTGTAGACGGTGTGGCATACATGTCAGCTCGCGTGACTTATCCTGGCGTGCTCTCTCCCAGCATGAGAAGCGCTGTCGTGACAGTCACACGATCTCTCTTCCGTATACTATACATAACCAGAGAGATGTGGACGGTTGGAGGGAACACGAATCCACATCTTTGCCAGCCCTTCCATCCGCGCGTGCTGGTACCTGCATATTACTGTCTGTATGTATGTCGTGCCTGGCGCCCGCTGCCGGATAACCGGGCTCTATTGATGAAGGAGAAAAAGAACCTTGGAACGGAAGGTGTGCGGCCGGGACGGGAAGGTGGCGCGCACACACACATACACACACACGCGACATAACGCTTTCGTCGTCGCGCGTGCGGGATCCGGAATACACTTGCACATTCGAGTAGCAGACGATACTCAACATCGTTCCTCACCTGCATTCACATAACGGAAGCTCGGGCTGCGAGTAGCCCTGGAGCTTGTCTTGCCTTGCAATAGAGCGTTGAGAGACTCTATTGCCGATTTTTTTTTTTGGCATTGCTCCCCGAAACCCCAACGCTCGGCGTCCATTCGGTCTCCACCCTCACGACGCGCCCGGGCCATCTAATTTCCTTTTCTGCCCCATTTTTATTTACTTTCTCCTCCTCCAGCGACTCGTGGGTTCGGCCTGTCACTCGCTCCGTGGTGGTCTCTGTCTCCCACACTACTGCGATATACATACATTTAACGAATGCAGGTGTGAATCCCGATCGATTTATCACGCCTTGAGACAATGCGACAATATATGGCTGTAAAGAGGAGTGATCGTCATCAATGCCTATTGCTCGGCCGGATGGACCGTGGATTCTTCCGCCCGGCGCGAAATCAACAGCCATCGCACGCGAAATGAGTGCGCTTTTGTTGGTTGGCTTTAGCCCTAGGACGGATTAATCAGGTTATTTTCCTAGCAAAAGCACTACATCTCCTGTTTCTCCTCGTGCGCGCTCGTTGGTGCTGTTGTTGTTATTGTGATGTATGAGTCGGAGAGTTGCCCATATATACGATTCCGTTTTACGATGGCAAATGCATCGAACGCCACATGTGTATTGTAATCAATCGTACACAGTATCTCGAGCTGTATGTCCTCAGGGTGTGAATGGTTGAATAAATGGTCTCGGTGGTGTGTCTTGCCCGCTCTTCGTGTCATTACATCTCAGTCCAGTTCAGTCACTCGCCTTCTCCACAGGTGCTACACAAACCATACACTTTTCGCGATCGAGACCTTATTGAATATTCGAAAGGACTGATGAGGTGCAAGAACAATCGATGATTCTTTCTATTGGTGTGATATGTTGAAAGACGTGGGAGTAATGGACTGTATTGTACAGTGTACATCCAGCAATGTAGTCGTCAACTCTCGCTCGTATTGGCGGCCGCGGCGGCTCTCATTCCAATTAAGCCTTATTTTCCCCATGTAATCTCTTTACCCGCTCTCCCTCTCGTGCCCTTTCGTGCTAACCGTACATACCCTCTCCTTCCCTCTCCTCTTCTCTCTTTTCTTCTTCTAGTCGTCGTCGCCTTTGCCAGTCACAAGTGTTCCATCACTCCATCGACCTCACCGTCACTCTTTTGGTGCATCGCATCTGCGAACCTCGAATCCCGCTTCACTCGCTCAGTGGTATTCGCGCGCCCTTTCGCAAATCGATCCTTCATCAACCGCTCGCACAGCACACATCTCCCGACGAGAATTCAATCGCAAAAATGGTCTGCAAATCTTTCGCCGCCGCCTTCTTCGCGGCCGGCCTGATCGCCTCGGTCAGCGCCAGCAATGTCCACAACCACCACGCCAATCTTCACCACAAGAAGAACGCGCCTGTCTACGACGCTGCTCCCTCGTCCACCGCCTGCGGTTGCACCACTTACACCACCACCTGGTACGGTGAGGCCACTCTCGTCCCGGACGCGACTACCAAGACTTCCACCGCCGCGCCGGCCACCTCCGCCGCACCCACCACCACTTCCACCTCCTCCGAGGCTGCTGCTACGCCCACCAGCACCTGGTCCGCTCCGGCTTCCACCTACGAGGCCCCAGCCTCGACCTACGTCGCTCCGGCGCCTACCCAGGCGGCTCCTAGCCCAGTCCAGAAGCAGGACGGCGGTATCATTGGAGGATTCATCGGTGGTGTCTTTGGCGCCGCGACTTCCGCCGTCGGTGCCGTTGCCAGCGCTGCTGCCGACGTGACCTCTGGTGTCTCCGCTGCCATTGGCGCCAACGGCAACAAGTGGGCCATCACCTACACTCCCTACAACGCTGACGGAACCTGCAAGTCTGCTGCCTCCGTCGACGCCGACATTGCGGTCATCAAGGGCAAGGGTTTCACCTCTGTCCGTCTGTACTCCACTGACTGCTCCGGTCTCGTCAACGCTGGCAACGCCGCCAAGGCTCACGGCTTGAAGATCATCGTTGGTGTCTGGCTCGACGGTGCCGGTGTCGCTGCCGCCAAAGCTCAAGTTGATGTCGTCGTCGGCTGGGGACCTGGCAACTGGGACAACGTCGAGATGGTCGTCGTCGGTAACGAGGCCATCTTCAGCGGTCACATCGACGCTGGCGGCCTCGCCCAACTCGTCATCGACGCCCGTGCTAGCCTCCGCGCCGCCGGCTACAGCGGCCCCGTGACCACCACCGAGACCGTCGCCAACGTCCAGGCCAACGCCGGCGTTCTCTGCTCCGCCATCGACGTTGTCGGCGCCAACATCCACCCGTACTTCAACGGCGCCATCGCGGCCGCCGGCGCCGGTGTCTTCGTCAAGTCGCAGCTCGACTCCCTCGCCAACGTCTGCCCCGGAAAGCAGGCTTACAACCTCGAGACCGGATGGCCCAACGGCGGTAACGCCAACGGTGACGCCATCGCCGGCTGGGCTGAGCAGAAGCTTGCTATTGCCTCCATCTCGCTCGTCGTCGGTGCTCAATCTACTTTCTTCTCCTTTGAGAACGACATGTGGAAGGCTCCTGGATCCCTCGGTGTCGAGCAACACTGGGGCTGTGCCGACCTCTTCTAGATGCGATAAATCCCAATAGAGTCGTTGTGCTGGTCAGAAGGAAAGAAAGACCAGGGCTGACCCTTTACCCTTGGATTCATTTTTGGGAAGGGAGGCAGGAGAGAATTTTATTCGAAATCTTTCTTCAATTTTTTTTGAGAAAGGATTTCTTCACGTCTATGAAATGTCCTCGTTTTATTGTTTGGCTTTTCTGCTGCTGTTATTTATCAGTTTTTATTCCCTCTCGTCGTGTGTCGCGCGAGATCCGAGCCCTCAACCCGTCTTTGGCTCTCTCGCATCTCACTCGGCCTCGCTGTTGTTGCTGCTTGCTCACTTTTCGAGGAGGAAAAAGGGATACGTCAGGGCCTATTCGATATCAAGCCTCCTCATGTACATAACTGCCTCCTCGGCGTTGATGCTCCGCTGCTATTCAGCTTTGTTTTCCCCTCCGAAAGGGAGCAAATGTTTTTCACTCTATCGTTTCCTGTTTCATGTCGTGCTCTTCGCCATGAGAAGACATTGGTCACCTGAAAGCCCTCGACCGGCGCGCATGAAGAAGGAGAAGAATTGATCTCTGGATTGATGTCGTCTGTACATCGACTGCATTTCCGGCACGACGATCATTCCTCGCCGCGCTTCGGAAATGGTGTCTCAGAGCTTTCTACTTTATTAATTCGACCGCGGCTTCCTCTGCTCCTTAACATCAGTATGATATGTAACAGCTATCATGTTGTCGCTGGCTATTCATTGGGGAAAGACGATGTCGACTAAACATGGCGTTCGGGTTGCCTGAAAAAGCCATCTACAGCCAATCAAATGCGCAGGGCTTCGTCGGCCCTACACGACAATTCTGTCGCGTTTCCCTTTTCCTGACAAGCGCGGATGTGGCCTGGGGATGGGTGTCGCAATCTCCGCTCCTCATTCTCTCGCATCATGTTCAACGTCCACGACGAGGATCGACACGTTCCTGCTTCTCTTCTGACATTCATTTTCCGTGTCCTGTTGCGCTTCTCGTCCCGACTCTCGTCTCTCAGTCACTCGTTCATTCATTCATTCGGTCATTCATTCACTGATCTCACGACGCTCCTTCGGACAACGCGCGCCACTGCACTCCTTTCAAATCTATAGCCATATAAGCAACCAAAACGGTCGATCTCTGAAGTAATTACTTATCAAGAACAAACGCTTCAAGAAACTGTTCGAAACGAAAAGATGTTCTCATCAACTCTAATTCTCCTCGCGCCTCTGGCCCTTTTCGCCCAGAATGTCGTCGCGACCAATCCTGTCATCCAGGTACCCTTGTTCGGGTACGGCAGCGAGTATGCCGTCGAGGGTTCCGTACTCGCGGTCAACAATGGTGTGACCACCATGGCCCTCGCTTGCCCATCAGCATCGAAGACCACCGACTGCTACATGTTTGCGCGTCAGACCTTGACCATCGGCGCGAGCACCTACCGCCTCAACTTCCGTGGCGACGGCGGCCACGAGGATAATGTCAGCGGGTTCCAAGACTGCAAAGTCGGTGCAACCGTCGCCGTAGACGCCGGATTCTCCTTTGCCATTGGAGTCGGTGCCGGAACTGTTGGCATCACTGCCGCAGCCCACGCCGGAGTCACTGACGCAGCTTCTGCCGTCAACGCTCAATGCACTGTTTCCGCAGATGGTGACGGCGAGGAGTACAAGCTTCACACAACCTCGTCGTATGGCGCCCCCGGTAGCGATGCTGACGGCAGAGGTGCGGTCTTCCAGGTCACTGTCGTCGCGGGCGCAAACCTCTTGACGGCGGCCGCGACCCAGGCGGCGACGGCGACTGGTACTGCAGCGCAGACGGGCTCAGGAGTCAAGACAACAGGTGCCGTGCAGACTGGAGGAATCAAAGTGACTGGAACTGCACCGGCAGGCACTGCTGCATCGTCGCAGCCGAGCACTGGCCAGGCGAGCCAGTTGGGTCTTAAACTCGCCCTGGGTGTGGTCGCTGCGGGAGTAGCAGGACTCCTAGCTCTGTAGATATTCATACGTAACATGCCGATGTTCCAGCTATTTGTTTCCTCTCTTATTCTTTGATGGCCTGATCGTGACAGATCAGCACCCGATTCATTCCCGCAGGCATGCTTATCTAAGCGCTTCTCAATGTCGCAGTGATCTGCAATGCCCCGAGATTACCTCGCGCAAGGGAGCTTCACAGCTGTGAAACCATCTTCCCTTTATTCACCTCGATTAACGAAGATTTAGGACAAGCCGATGGCTCGAATTCAAAATACAGCAAGCGAAACATAAAAATTACACTAAATACTCGACATCCAATCTCTGCACGATTTACTACAAGTCCATTTCCATATGGCGAGCGTACTCAGGGCTCGGCCATCTCTGGCTATCATTGACGACTACCTTCGCACCTCAGCGCCGCACTTCGCCCACCTGCCCTCCAAAGCCTTACGCATAGCCACCTTCACCGACACCATCGTGCCAACCAACGACGCGGAACAAGCTCGTCTAATTCAACGCCTCCAGCCCTTCGAAATCATTGCCTCCGTCCGCGAACGCACCGCCTTTCCGGGCACTCTTCTCCATCGCCTCCCCAACCTCAAGCTCCTCCTCGCAACGGGAACCCAATTCGAACAATTTAACCTCCCCGCCGCCCGCGAACGCGGCATCATCGTCGCTGCCGCTCCCGGCCTAGGCCGCACCGACGGAGTCGGCCCCCGCCGTCCCAACATCAAGCAAGGCGGCGTCCATCCCACCACGCAACACACCTGGGCGCTTATCATGGCCCTGGCCCGCAACATCCCCGCCGACGACGCCGCGCTCAAAGCGGGGCACCCATGGCACACCCGCCTCGCGACCAACCTCACAGGTCTAACCATCGGCATCGTGGGATTAGGCCGTTTGGGCGCCGCCGTCGCCCGCATCGCGCAGCTCTGCTGGGGCATGCGCGTGATTTGCTGGAGCGAGAATCTCACGCAGGCCAAAGCGGACAAATGGGCCACGGATCTAGGACTACCCTTGAAGGACCCGATTACCGGCGATCCGACGTTCCATGCCGTGGATAAAGCCGAGCTCTTCCGCGCTGCGGATGTGGTCAGCTTGCACTACGTCCTGAGCGCGCGATCCCGCGGCATCGTCGGGGCGGACGAGCTCGCCGCGATGAAGTCCTCGGCTCTCCTCGTGAACACTGCGCGAGGGCCGCTGGTTGATGCGAATGCATTACAAGCCGCTCTGGAGCGGGGAGCGATTTCGGGCGCGGCGATGGATGTCTTTGATATCGAGCCCTTGCCATTGGACAGTCCGTGGCGAAGGAAGGACTATTGGGGAGTAGAGGGCCGATCTCGGCTCATTGTCACCCCGCATATGGGATATGCGGATCAGGTCCTGCTGGATACGTGGTATGCGGAGACGGCGGAGAATGTGGAGAGGTGGCTTGATGGGAAAGAGATCCTGCATCGGCTGGTGTGAGTAGAAGCAGTTGCAGGATTGCCAAGAGAACAGATCGAACTCGTGATGGTTCAACATTGTCATTCTGATGGTGTTTGAAAAAGGCCAGGACCGAGCAGCTCCACAACTTGATTGGAAGTAAGAAATTGAACTTGCGGTTATTTCAACCTCAAGCGCCGCTCGCCTATGCTTTATACCTCGGCGATGTACGTCGAAAGGGAGGTCTATGGAAGTCGTCTATATGCAGGCATCACGCTATCCAATGCGTCTTGTTCAACACTCTTGCTTCTTCGCTTGCTCTTTGGCCTCTTTCCTTTTCTGCAGCCGGACTGCGCGCTCCCTCCGCCATCCAGGTCCATACCTCACCACGACTACAATCATCGGGCTCAACGCGGCAATTAACAGTCCAACAAAAGTATACGCCCAACCCACCCCCATCGCCTGGATCATTGGCTCGATCACCGCCGACCCGCCAGCAGCCATGGTACAACGCGCGAGATTATTCGCCGCGGACGCAGTCGAAGGTGAATTCGGATACAAATCCACCAACAAGATGTTCATCGAATTGTACACCGCCGTCAGCCACAGCGCCATCAAAAAGGTCATGACCAGCGGCACGGCGAGGTGCGCGTGCCGGTCGATGGCCCAGCCGAAGCCGATGGTTGCGGCTGCGCCGACGTAGATCAACGGCCAGACGGACGCCATGCGGGCTTTTTCGATCGGAAAGTGGGTTAGGTCTGTGCCGCGCTTTTTCTCGACGGGGAAGCCGTTCGCCCGTGCGACTTTGGCGTAGCTGCGGTCTTGGATGTAGCCGTTTACCATGATGGAGATGGCTGCACCCGCGCCGAAGGGACTTTTGAGCGCAGAGTTGTCAGACGATCCATCTCGTTGAGTTTGAGTCTGGGCACGAGGAAGGACTCACATGTAGCAGAGGCCGATCTGCAGGGCATCCAGACCATACTGCGTGGACAGCAAATTCGACAGATTGGCCGTGACGGTGTACCAAGCGGCATAAATGATGGCGTTGTAGAAAAGGATGACTGCGCAGTCCTTTTCGCCGAGAATCAAGAGTGCCTTGAGCGGGTTTGGGAAGCGGAACTTCCGCGATTCGCCTGATAATGTCTCGTAGGCTTTCCCGCCGCCTTGCTCTTGCGCCGCTCGACGCGCCTGCCATTTTTGCAATAATGATTGGCCGAGGACTCCTTGAGGAGGGATGGAGCCGTTTCCTACTACGTTCCGGGAGGTTTCGGGTACGAAGATGGCGTAGACAATGAGGTATACGCCACCGCACTGGATTGGTTAGCAAATCAGCATGGATATAGTAGAGCGCTATGCAAGAAGATCATACGATGGTCAGAAACCTGTGAAATAGGTTAGATGACGGAGTGGATTCCAATTAAAGATTATATCGACTCACCAGAAAATCGATCGCCACCCCAGGAATTGGTTCAAAATGCCACCGATGATTGGGCCTGGAAAACGTCAGCGTGCTGGAAACAGCTTTTCGACCCGCAATAATTCATACCAAGCGCTGGTCCCAACTGTGAATCGAGTGTCAGTAAGCTTGTTCCCAGCTTTTCGTTCATCTCAAGCTCACCATAATTCCGCTCTGAGCTGCGCCCATGTACTTGCCACGTTCGGCTGATGTTGCAATGTCTGCAATAACACCGCTGTTCAACGCGTAAAGACCGCCGGAACCTGAGCTCTGTAGGATTCATTTGATCAGCTTCGGCATCGGTGATGTGACAGATCGAGAACATACTTGAAGGCATCGCAAGACAAATAATGCTGCGTACGAGGACTGCGTAGCTAGTCCGATGTTGGCCGCGACATAAACAACGAATGACAGCAGATATGCTGGGCGACGGCCCGCAAAGTCGGCAAGATCGCCATAGATGGATGGCGCCAAACCTTGAAACAGCAGAAACGCTGTCACAGTCAAATTGATCAGGGACGGCGATACGCCCAAGTAGCTTGCGAGGCTCGGCGTTGCGGGCAGGTATGTGTTTGCGGACAACGGGGAGAAAAAGCCACCGAGTGCAGACATGAAGACAATGTAGCCTTTCTGTCTGGACGTGTAGATGGAATACAGTGGCTGAACTTCAGGTTCAGGTGGTTTGTTGTCGCTGCCGTTGGCAACATTGGGAATTTTGGCGAGAACTCCCTCTTGGACAATCGTTTCGCTCGCATTATCGCTGGCTCTGTCGCTCGTCCGATCGCTTGCTTCGTCTTCCACATCTGGAAATGAAGCGTGCGAACGTTCGTTCTTGGCTGGACCTGAGTCTGCTTGATCTGTTTGCGTATCCGCCATAATGTAAGGCGCACTTGAGGCGTCGTGAGCACAGCCCGGTTAAAAATGAATGCCAGAATGTCACGCAACTGCTTGAAGCTACATGCGTCGACAAAGAAGAAGTTGTCTGCAGACGAGTAACCAAAATTTCAAGTCATGGATGGTAGGCAGTCACGAACTTCCGACGTCGCACCTGCTCTCGCGATCCGCCAGGCTGAATTGCATGTGCACGACCACCTCTCCCCTCTCCCCTCGCACTGATAGTCCACATTCCGAGGACAGGTTGACCTGCTTGCAAGTGGAGCACGAATGCGCATTGATCTGCTTCTTCTTTGCTGTTTTGAATCGCATTCTTATAATCTGATGCAATGTCATGTTGTGTAAGACCGGAGACCGAACTGCATGAGCATATGAAACGGGCTCCACCGTTGTCAATAAACATATGCAGTCTTTCCGGGGCCTGAGATGATCGTCGCGATATGATAAGATAAATCTGGTGAGCGTATTGGTCCGAAGATCACTTCGGGCGTGCATCGCTACCAATATTGGGAAGTTCAGCGCCGTGACTGTGTGTCAGTGCGTGAGCACGTTTTGCGCCATCGCAAATCATCGCCGAAAAGGGTCCATGCAGTATCCACCAGAGCTTGTGATAGTGAGCGGAACTTGCACCTCGGAACTTTGTCCATGCACTTGAGCACTTGGCAAACTAAGATAACCCCTAAGTCATAAGAACAAACAATCTTATACTTCCCTAGGTATACTCACTGTTCACAATTAGAACATATGCCAGACGAAGTGAGAGGTAGGGCGACGGGAGCCTCGCCTTTTCGATATTTTCCACTCAGCGAAGTTCACTCATGGCAGGGAAGGAAATGTCACAAGGCGAGAAGTGAACAATCCTTATTACATTTGTCCTGTATTTTCTACGAAGTCGAAGTGCAGGGGTACAGCGAAGAACGCCAAGATGGAAATCAATTTAGTCTGCCGAGCGACAAGGATCCTCTGTGCTGCCAAGGGCGGATCAACAGACTTTCGGCAAGCTGGAGGGAGTACCGCTCCACCCTTTTATCCTAATCCGGCAGCCACACCTTAAATAGGCCCAACCACCGCGTGGCCCTGAATACGCTCTTAATACGCTCTTAATGCGACTGCATTCGTTTGGTCAACAGGCAGTGATCGGCAGCTCCAGGGTCGGAAGCTCGCTATCTAATCTGGCTGAGAGGACAGGACAATCACTCACTCGCTCACTCAGAATGACGCCCAAGGCATCATACTCACACGAAGAATCTAATAATCAATCGTGAAGGGAAATGTGCTGTCCGTCAAGCAAGGATTGCAACATGATACACATCATGATTTCCATGAGTTCGCCTCATTGGTGCCCTCCTGAGTACGTCATGAGCATGAACCACAAAGTGTGGGTCGAATGTCGTGGCTCTGCATGTCGAGATACCCCATTCCATGTGTCTCGAAGTCACACTTCGCTTTCTCATCACACCCGGCCAAAGCCCGCATTCCTCCGAAATGCTTGGCTTATGCGTGTCTGGACCCTTCATGCTTGATATGATACCTGATGAAAAGCTTGTTAGCGAACGACACATTCGTGACGATCGTGCTGTAAACGAGCAATCAGATGACCTTTTAGGCGGGCTCTCCGCTCGATAAGAAGTCGCATACTCACTTGAACAGAACCTGCGCCTCGTCGATCAATTTCTGGGCATGCAAGAGCTGTAATTAAGATTATCAAATTTTGGTCGAAGGACATGGCTTCATGGTGATCCTACACAACTTTTGATCATCAGCTTCCCGAGGGTGTGTTGCTGAGCTAGGTGAGGCAGTATCTTGAGCGTCAGCCGTTGTGATCTAGGATGTACGGTGAATTTTGGACTTTACCACGAGCTAGGGGTCTGTCACTGCCATGATTGGATGATTGTTGAGGATCCTCCCATGCGGTAAGAATCGCCATGTGCGACCAGGCCTCCATCTCGGAGCAGGTGGTCTGCGAGTGTGGTGGTTGGATTCTTGTTGAGGATCCCTCCATGCATCCTCGAAAACGTCAATTCGATCACCCCGCCAGCGGCGACCTCCTCGTGGCAACTCATAAATGTCCCATTCAAATCACTTGCCTCCCAGCTCAGACATCTTCTCTTTACCCTCGCTTTTGATAGCTTTCTCAAGATCTTCATCTGTTACAAAATGTCATCCGTCCTCGCTGCTTCACGATCAAGTGCCCACGTGCTGGCTAAGCAAGGTCTCACATCGACCAGACGAAGCCTAGCCAGTGTTGCCATTCATAATCCTTCATCTGACTCGAATGAGGCAGCCAAGTTCTCGTGGTCAAAGGCTCAGCCATTCGAGCACACTCCCTGGAAGCAACCTCCCAAGACAAAGGGAACGATCCGTTTCCTGGGCCCGACTAAGGATGGCAAAACAGCGATGTTGAATTTCGAAAAGGGTCGTGAACATGAAACCAATTTCGGTCCCAGCCTGGAACGACAAGTCGACATCACAGATCTTCGCCACTTTGAGCCACGAACGAGCCTCCGTGATGAGGGGGTCGAGTGGGTGCATGCCCCCAGCATCCTTTCTGAAGACAAACTTCTTGCAGCCCCTGGCGACGTCGAAGCTTTCGTTCGTGGCCCCTACTTCGAAGAGTGTGCTCAGATCGTCAAGGACCAGACTGGCGCATCCAAAGCCATCCCATACAACTTCAGACATCGTCGTATCGAGCAGGTATGTGACGAGCCTTACTAGGTCTCTCCCAGTCTTTTTCAATTACATATGACTGACGATTGAAAGAACACCAACATCATGGACCCCTATAAATTTTCAAACAAGCCGTTGCCCAACTTTCACATGGACAACGACGCTGAGACGGCCGAAGCCAACCTTCGTCGTGTTCTTGGTGAGGAAGAAGCACAACGTTGGATCGGAAAGCGTTGGGGTATCGTCAACCTCTGGCGTCCGGTCGGAGATGTCGTGCGGCAGTGGCCGCTCGCCTTAGTTGATTCAAGGACAGTTCAATATGGCCGGGATACTGTGCCGATCATCACCAAGCACAACTACAAGTCCCATTTCACGGCTCTGAGGCCGCAAGAGCACTTCCGTTATTACTATGTCAGCAACCTTGCACCGGATGAAGCTTTGTTGTTTGTCGACTACGACTCAGCACAGAAGGGTCGTGAGAATGTTGTTGGAATGGCTCATGGTGCCTTCGAGGACCATAATGCTCCGGAAAGATATCCACGTCGTCGTTCCATTGAGGTTCGAAGTCTTGTTCTGTACGAGGATTAGATTGAGCACATAACAAATGAATATAGAACCAGCAAGACGACTCCGGCCTTGTTTGTATGGTCTGACAATGTCATCCGTCTCAGTCGTCTCCATTATGTCTGGTTTGCGGAGACTTCGGCACGAACATGGCTCGAGATGGTAGACGCCAGCATGGCTTACAACATGAACTTCTTAAGCTAGTCACCCATTGTCTGCATCTGGGTATGGATATCTAACCCGTGCTACTGCTCTCAATCTGTTCGTGATGTCTGCAGCTGGCAAATTGCTCATGTTCGAATCTAATGGGTAGCACGCTCGAAGTGCTACTTTACATGTAAGTTGACTCATCCATAAATGAATCCATCGCTCACTGATTAGAGCTCCAGGATCGGCCGGCGGGGACCTTCTGCCATCCCTACTGCTTTGTGCACTAGACGACTCTCAGTTATACAAATACCGACCTATGATGAACGCTAGCGTTGCTGTTTTTTTAGCCTGCCATCATTAGAGAGATTGCTTACCCAAGGTGTTAAAGGCAGTAAAAGTGTCGTTTCTAATTTAGGTCAACTTTGAAGCGAGAGGGAGCGGGGTACGCTTTGGTATCGCTGCAAAAGTAATTCGCCCACTAAACTCGAAGCGTACAAGCATCCGGGATCGCGAACGATAAGCGAGTACAGCTTTGCCATGTGGGAATGATGAGGCTGTGCGAAGGACATGTAAGAGAGGATTGGAAATTCAAATTTGAAGGATGACTGCGTGCACCGACTATTCCCAAGACCGGTGTTACAAAATAAAATATCACCTCATTTGCTGTTGAGTTCGGCGACAGTAGTGAAGGTCTGTATCGTTGGGACGGCCGCATCACCATGGTTAAGAAATTCATCTGGAGGCTTCACGGGATCCCCGTGGGCACTCCGGAAGATGCCGTTGTGGACTATTTCGAGCCCAGCGAGCGGCATAGGTTGCGTGTGAAAACGCTGTGTCCGGATGTGGATGACCCGGAGAGCAACTTGACCGCGACGATCGAATTCGATCCGCCGACTGGCAAACCCGACGCACCGCCTACGATAAGGAATGACCTGTCATACTATCTACCTCTGGAGCGCGATTTTATGGGGTTTACGCCCCTCTATCACCCACCAGCTGGCGCATATGATGCAGAGTAAGTCGAACGCGCATCCGAAATGCACGAATTATCGAGACCAGCGATCCGAGTCTGACCTTCGGCAGCATCATCGCAATAACGGGACTTGCCGGCCATGCGATCGGTTCGTGGACGCTTCCTGATGGCAAGATGTGGTTGCGCGACTTCTTGCCGCACGATGCGCCGACAGCGCGTATCTTGACGTATGGTTATGACGCTCGCGTCCAGGGTCGCGATCTTCCAACATCTACTCTTGGTGAACTTGCAGAAGAGTTCTTGGATAGTTTGATCACCATGCGCGATTGCACGCCCCAGGTCAGGCCTGATATTCCATATAGACATTTCATCATGCTTACACCTTAGTAGGGAGATCAGCGGTAGGCTTTTGCATGTACCACATACCGGCGTTTATGCTAAATTCAAGAAGGCCGATAATTTTGATCGGTCATAGTTTGGGGTGCTTGTTGATCAAAAAGGTTCGAGAACTATTTTAAGAAGAGTAATACATGAGCTCACAAACATGAAAGGCTATGACTTCGGCGAACTATCTTCGGTATGAGCCTAGAATGTTACGGTGGCCCGCTGCGAGAGATATGACTCAATGATCGATATAGGAATGGATCTCGACTACCCATACGACTCATCGTCTTTCTCGCGGCGCCGCACCGGGGCATGGAAATCGAAGCACTTCTGACTGTGATCAAAGACAAGCCTCCGCAGCAGCTCATCCATGAGCTTGGTCGAAATTCTCCAATATTGAAAGAGCTCAACCGTCTGTTCATAGAGGCATCCGAGCAGATTCAAATCTTGAGTGCGTTCGAGACGCTAGAAACAGCCACCGTGGAGTTCGATGTGAGTTTCATATGCCTGCCTCGCAGCTTGCTCGGAAGGTCCTGCAATATCTCGAACTCAGCTGACACGAAGTGACTTAGGAAGCCACCGGGAAATGTGTGCGTTCGGGAAAGGCGATAGTGCTCGTCACTAGCGATTCTGCCATAGAAAATCTCAAGAACGAGCAGACCATTCTGGCGAAAGCCAATCATTCAACAATCGCAAAGTTGGACAAACATCAAGGCTCGATTTATCCACGACTCAGATTCGCGATACGGCAGAGCCTGTTACCAACAGCGCAGGTGAAGGCAGTGCACGACAAATCTAACAAGCAAAATCTTGTGGTATGCGATGCTGGACACTGAGCAAACGCGGTTCGCATCGTCTCCATGAACTGACCAACTTCTAGGGCGCTAAAAATGTCGAGAAATCGCAGACTGCAAGCACTAGAGACCACTACTCGACTGCGCGGAAGGACTCCACTAATGCCGATGTCATTGAACATGATGATTATGATCTCAATCAAAAACATGATGAAGGCTACCAGCAAAGTCTGGTGCAGAACGACGACTTGGGTGACTACCGAGCTCCACCGAGAGGCGACGCATCGTCATCTGGCTCTACCTTCCATGGTACTACCATAGAAGCAGCTGGCTCATTCAGCAAATTCGATCACGATCTGTCGAGTCAGCTACAAAACTCGCATTTGGCAGAAGATTCAGACGGGAAGATGTATGATGCAGAGGTAAGCATTGATTTCGGATGGACTAAATATTGTTTGGACATGAAGAGTTGTTCGAGGAGATGTGAAGTCACTGTCAAGCTTGACCTATTCTTGAAGTTCATGATCGCTGACACACATCCACAGGTACCTACCGTACATTCGTCGTCTAACAGTCGGACACAGTCGTCTAAAAATCATGGTCCAGCTTGGCCTTGTACTTCATGCAAGCTCATGGTGTACTTTCCCGACTTTATATACAGTTGCTACAAGAGTGCCAATGGGGAGCACACTGAAATCAGATTGGATCTTTGCGAGAATTGCTATCAGGCAAATAAGATCTGTCCGCAACACGGAATGGCACTGGCTCGTTATGAAATGTTCTTCGGCGGCAAGATTACCATGTTCCGCATATTTGTGGACCCAAGTATCCGACCGCATGATACCGCATTAGTCAAAGCCATCAAGTCCAGAGATATCGGCCTCGTGGAACGACTGGCAGGAGTCGCAGGTCTGAAGGGCTTAGTGGACGAGAACGGTAACAGTGCACTGCACGTAGCTGCTCACTTGGGTCTTCGCTATGAGGCGGAATGCCTGATGATAAATGGCGCCAACATAGAAGCAGAGAACAAGCTGGGACACACCCCACTTGTGCAAGCAATTCGAGCCAAGCAACTAACTCTGGTGAACTTGCTTCTTGAATACGGGGCAAACAAGAATGCAGTCAACCACGGAGGTCGAACAACGCTTCAAGGAGCATGCCAGATGCAATGCACAGATATCATTGTGGCGCTACTTGCTTTCACAGACAGCGTACAGCTCGAGGAATTTGTCAACCGACGTGCTGACAACGGTCGGACGGCGCTGTCATTTATGAGTCCCACTGGAGCGATCGAAATTATCAAACTGCTGTTGGACGCTGGAGCGAGCCCAGAAATCGAAGATCAAAATGGAAATTCCTCACTGTCATGGGCTGCTTTCTGGGGCCAGACGGAGACAGTCAAATTGTTTCTAGATAGCGGCGCGTCCAAGAACCCTCCGTCGAGAATCTCCAAGTGGAAGAAAAACGGGTTCCAAACGAGCGTGTCTGAAAAAACAAGAGTGGAGATACTTGCCTTACTGGAAACACCTGAGAGCTCAAGATTCAAATGGAAGTGGGGCCGAAGCAAGTAAAAAGCATTCAAGATTGATTCATGTGAATTTGAGCTCGTTCGACTCCAGAAAGACAACAGCCGAACCTTGATCTTTGAAAAGAGACGAGTGAAGAAATTGAAATTGACTGTTGATGAGCACATTACGATCGTCACAGGCAAACACAATACTTCATACAGAGTTTCCAGCGCTTGAATACCATTGCTGCATCTACATAGTCTATGTCGAATCATTTTGAAGATCTCTGCGTTCTCGTCTTCTAGATCCGCTAGCTTGTGCAACTGGATAGAGCGATAGCCACTCAGAGATAAAGACCCAAGTTCATTGCACCTATGAAATGATAGCATCTATTTAGGCGCCTCGACTTCGGCCTCCTTACCAGGCCTCTCTGTTGCGCTCTTCTGAACAAAAGCTTCTGCTCTTTGCACGCTCTCAACCTGCAGAAGTCTTTCGTGCCACGCCCAGCAGCTGGGGAACTTGTCCTTCCACTCCCCTGCGAACGATTGTCCCATAAAGAACATAAGGATAAGAATGTTGTACGGCACAAACATCAAGTCGGCGAAGCTCAACTTCGATCCCACAAGATACGGCTGACCCGTCCGCGCAAGGTGCGCGTCGATCACGCCCAAAATGCGACGAAGCTCGGCTTCGTACCGGGAGATGGCACTCGGAAGCTTCTCCTCATGCAAGAATCTGAACCAGCTAAGCTGGCCAATATATGGGCCTTGGCCGCTTGTTTGGAAATGCTTCCATGCATTTTGTTGCCACTTCTCAGGCTCGGTGGCGTAGCTTAGTCGGTGGTCGGGATCATAAACTTCGAGAAGACTGGCGGAAGACGGCATGAGTCAAAGTCGTGATAAGGGTATCGGGAAACGTACTACTCAATAATCGCTCCACTCTCCCAGAGCTTGACGTTCTTGTTTGGGTCCACAAGTGCTGGCATGCGACTGTTCGGGGTGATGTCCACGAGAGGAGCTGATTTTCGTACTTCAGGATCCATTCGGTCAAGAGTCCGCATCTCGAAAGTGAGATTCAATTCGTAGAAAAAGATGACAATTTTCCACGGATTCGGTGCAATTGGGCCCTGGCTCTGGGTCAGCAAAGGCGTCGTTTCAAGCGGCAGTGGTTACGAACATCGTGATAGCGGTACAGGATCAAGGGTTGTAAAGAAGACATTTTCTCAATTTTCCGAGTGCGACCGTTGGTCATCTGCGAAACTTCGAGTTGCTGGGAATTTGAACTGCTTTAATATTCGCTCTCAATTTATGGTGATCGACTTTGTCCGCTAAAAAAATTAGTGCTTATGTTTCCGCCGGCCTTTCGTTACCTCCACAGGGTGACCAATTTTCGTTTTGTCATGGGAACGAGAATTCCTGAATTTGTCCTCTAGGTGATTGAAGTTCTCAGCGAACCCGCACCTTCACCACACTCAATGACGTGGGAAATGATTGCCAATTGCGGAACAGGTCGGACAACTCAAAGCGCATGCACTCTGTTGGTGAGAATTTTAGCGTACAGCAGCTTGCAGACGTCGCGCCTACAGCGCCGCTAAATCCGGGCGCAGCGTCTTGCGGAGCGCTCAGTGTTGGCAATCTCCAGGAATAGAAGGCGCCAAGATGTATTGATTGTTCGCATTCAGAGGAGCGTACGCTCTGTAAAAGTCAGTCCAGTTGGTGAGTGCACTTAGTGCGACGTGCGGCAAGTGAGCAGGCAGGAAACTCTGACACGACGATCAAATCGGATTCTATTTTTTCCATGTCAACCAGGCCCAAGCAGCATTGATGAAATGAAAGATTGCACCTCGAGCATGCAATGCCAAGTCGATTTTGAGCACCAGACCCACTGTTGTCCCGCAATTGCTACGATGTCAGCAGAGGTGGCCACAAGCAAGTCAAGCAAGTCTGGAGCCTGGACTTGGCTTGACTTGAGGCCTCAAAACCGTGGGCTTGACTTGCTTGAGAGGTCCGAGGGGATGGCTTGACTTGCTTGACTCGGCTTGAGCCAAAAGGCCAAAAGTTCAGCCACCTGCGAGAATTGAATTCGCGACCTTGGAGTCTACGATCCCCTTGCTCTACCGCTGAGCTAAGATGGCCAGAGCCATAACAGCTGGACCATTTGTGCCGATGTCTGACCCGGTGTTTTCGGGGCATTTCAATGCTCTCCGAGG